CACACTTGCTGAACTGAATATGATATATTTGGTCTTATAAATGTTAAGTACTGTAATACGCTGGAAATACTTTGATATTCTGTTGGATCATGATAGGGATTACTTGAGAACCCACTGAGTTTTTATTTGGAATTCATCGGTGTTGGTGTTGGCTTGCATGACGACATTCTTTCACGTTCAATGTTTTCTTCTGCATATTTTTTTTGAGAGAGAAAAATAACACTTGAATGTCGAGTAATAAAGATTCCTAGAAAATAAATCAGAGGACATAGATCCTTCATTACAAATTTAGAACTTAGCTTGGATATAATATACTCATGGAGAGAGTCTGACGAAAAAGTGAGGATAATGTCATCTACATAGAAACGAATATAGGCCATGTCATTCCCATGATGATAAATAAATAAGGAGTGATCGAAAATGTTGTGAGAGAATCCCATTTTAGCGACATAATCATGAACCGGAGATACCAGACGTGTGGTGCTTGTTTAAGCCCATAGAGAGACATCTTGAGAAAACACAGATGGTCCGGGAATTGAGGATGACAGAAGCCCAGAGGTTGGTGCATGTACATTGTTTCATCAAGATTATTGTGCAAGAAGGCATTTTTAACATCCAATTGATGAATACACAATGATATTGGCAAGGCAATGTTGAATATTGTGTGAATAGTAGTTCGTTTGACTACGAGGCTGAAGGTTTCACCACAATCAACACTTGTTTGTTGGTTCACTCCATTTTCGACAAAGAGAGCTTTATAGCACTCAAATGATCCATCTGAATCAGTTTTATGGCTAAAAATCCACCAACTTTGAATAGTATTAACACTAAATGGATGAGGAATTAGGTCTCATGTATTATTTTCAATAAGAGCATCATATTTATATTTCATGGTCATTTTCCAATTAGAGTCATGTAATACATCTATAGGGTTTCTAAGTAAGGGGGTATGAAATTTTGAGATGAAGTATGTAGGTTAAAATTTTTGCGAGATTTGACTATACCATATTGGGCTTGAGTAGTCATTCGTGGTGAGAATTATGGTATTATTGGAGAAGGCGGAGGTGTGGGCGTCAATGTAGTAATCGAGGTTTGTTGTTTGTTGTGAGTTGAAGGAGAAGAAGATACAGGTGTGGAGGAAGAGGTTGGTGGGGAGGGTTGGTTGGGAGAGGGTGTAGATGATGGTAGGTTTTAGCTTGGTGTTTTTGAATTGTTAGATTGAAGGTTAGTTGGGGTTGAAGTATTTGGTGTATGGGTGCCATGGTAGTAGGAAGGAAGGAAATGTGTGGAGTCATTATCTAAGAAAATATAGTCAACTGCGCTAGGAGCATTTAAGGTAGAAAAGGGAAATGTATTTTCTTCAAATATGATATGCTTAGAAATAAAGATCTTACGACTGGAAAACTCATAACACTTATATCCTCTATGATTAGGTGGAAAACCTAAGAATACGGTTTTGACTGATGTTGTAATTTATTTCTAGAAGTTGACGGAATTAGAGGATAGGATAGACACCTGAAGACTCGAAGATATGAATAGAAAGAACCTTTTTGGTAGAGTATCTTAGTGGGTGAATGAAGGGCAATATTGTTTATTGGAGGATGTTATGTAAGTATGTTGCCATTTACAAGGCATGATACCAAAAGGATGGTGGAATAGAGGCATGGGCTAGAAGGGTGCATACAATGTTATTTATTCTTTCAACTTTTCCATTTTTACGGGAAGTATGGGCAGATGAAAACCTAAATGACATAGTTAACATAACTTTTTTAAGAGATAATTGTCATATTGTTTCGCATTATCACATTGAAAATATTTGATTTCTCGTTCAAATTGAGTTTTAATGTGAGCGCGAAATTGAAGAAACATAGAATAAATTTGAGATTTATTTTGTAATGGAAAAGTTCAATAAAATTCGAGAAATCATCTAAAAATAACACATAATAATGATGTCTTCCTGAACTAAGAACAAGTGATGTCCAAACATTAGTATGGACAATATCTAAAGGCATTAAAGTATAAGACAAATAATTAGAAAAAGAAAATTTTATTTGTTTCCCAAGTGGACAAAAGAAATTGTTCAAAAACTTATTACATGTAAGAAAATTATTTTGGTGTAGAGAATTTAAGAAATTTGTTCCAGGGTGTCCGAAACGGTTGTTCATACTTCTTTAGATAATACAGAAAAGGTAGATAATGATTGGGTTGTAGAGTAAGGTCCGGTGGTAAGTGGGTAGAGGTCGCCAGAGCTATTACATCCCATTAAATGCATTTATGTCTGAAAATCCTTCACAGAGAAACTAAAGGGGGTCAAATTCAACGAAAACATCATTATCAATGATAAATTTCTAACAAAGACGGGATTTTTTTTATTAGTTTATGGGCATGAAATACATTGCGTAAATTTAAAGAGTATAAAAAGGTAGGTAATGATGCATGTCCATAACCAATAACTGAAATATTATGACCATTATCATTGTGGCTTGTATTGAAATAAGACATAAGATTACATTCTTTCGCTGCCATATGCGAAGTAGCCCCGATCTCCATATACCATTGATCATTTAGAGGATAAATAGATAATGTATGCATAACAACCTGAATGTTTGTTTGAACATACTAAAAGGGTTCCTAGTGACTGACTTGGTACAATGCAATGGTCGACACATGAACCTGATGATTTGGATTTTGCCTCAGAATACTAGCTTGCTTGTTCGAGTTTCTAGTTGTGAGGTATGGATATGGTGGAGTGGATCAAAACTGCTGCCACGGTGAAAAATCCCACTGCTGATTCTGGTTGGAATATGATGGATAAGTCCATTGTTGTTGTTGATGTGGACAGGATAAAGGGTGGACCTATGTTGTATAGTTTGGGGGCTCATGCTCTCACAATAAACATAATCTAGTTACAAAATTTCTATTTTATTTTTTAAATTTTAAAATAAGACATTGCTCCCATCTATTACAATCACAGTCTATTGCATATATTTTTTGAACCACGTTCTTCTATAGTATTATCTTCATTTTAAAAAATAAAATTATTTTTTACAAGTATGTTTTCTACAATTGTAAGGATTGTTTGAAAAATATTGAAATTTCATTTGAAATTTTTTCTATTGACATCGGAAACAAGTATAAAATACCATGTAAAAAATCTATTTTTAACAAGAGTGAGTGAGATTTTCTTCGATAAAAAAATATTCTTTTAAAATTTTAATTTTAATTACGTTACAAAATGACTATGTTACAAAAGTGCTAGATTAATTGAATTACATACATAAAAAAATATTGTATTTTGTTTATATACAAAAGAAGATATTATGTTGTTTTTACCAATGTTATTATTAAATAATTTATTCACAAAATAAAAAATATAAAAAAAATTAATTTGTAAAAGTTTATTTTTTATTAACTTATAATTTTTTTCTAATTTTTTGCTCCCACTTAAATAATATTATAAATTTGCCACTGCGTAGGATGGTAAAGTCCGCTATAGATATTGAGAGCAACCACCACCGCGTCTATTGTTTCGTCTTCTACCATGGTAGGTACTACCATGACCTCCTCTGCCAAGATTATTATTATCTTCGTTGTGGTTGGTGCGGTTGGAAGGAGTAGGAGTCGATGTATCGGTGTGTGAAGCGATTGAGGTAGTGTTATCAGTGGTATTGACTGCCTTTTTCATTTTGCTTGTTTCTTCTAAGATGATCTTGGAGCGTGTTATGTTTAAGGGTAGAGAGAATCACTGTGACGAATTTGCGAGCCTACAATAGTATAAACATTTGTTATGCTTAAGATAAGTTGAAGAACCAGATGTTCATTAGAGACAAGAGCTCCGACATTAGATAGTTGGTCGGAAAGAAATTTAGGATGATGACAGTAAGATGATGCATCAGAGAATTGTTCTATATGAGTGTGTGAAAACTCTTCCTTTAGGTAAATAACCATAATTTTTTTTAGTCATAAAATATGTCAAGCAACCTATTTCAAGCAAGTTATGCAGTAGAGTCATGTTCAATGATGGTATTAAGAAGTTCATTAGAAATCATGTTGTATATCCATTATAACACGATGACATCAAGGCGAAGTCAGAGTTTAGGATCAACGTTTTTAAGTGAGGGAGTCGCAGGTGCCGTTGAGGGGGAAGGTGGGATTATATGATCAAACATTTGATAGACACGAACATGAATTTTGAATAATTCAGACTATGTATTATACTATTATTTTTAATATTCAATGTGATTTTGATAAAGTTTGTGATATTGAACACCGTTAAAGCTTTTGATAAAGTTTGTGATTTTTAATACTCGAATACCACTATTGAAGAGTTCGAGAGAGTCGAAAGCACCAATGAAACCAATGTTCCAGGACTACAAGAGAGGGAGACACCACATCTCAACCTCAAACCTTAAGATGTTAGGTGAATGAGTATTTTCTCTTGTAAATCCAACATTCCACCCATTCATAAGTGATGTGAAATTTTAATCATTCACACTTGCATCCAACGTATACATGACTAAATATTAGTAGTGTCTTCGCATATATATATATATATATATATATATATATATATATATATATATATATATATATATATATATATATATATATATATATATATATATATATATATATATATATATATATATATATATATATATATATATATATATATATATATATATATATATATATATATATATATATATATATATATATATATATATATATACTAAATATTAGTCACCAAATTAAATATTTTATACATAATGACCTATTTCTTATGTATATTTACAAACAAATTTTTTTTTAAATAAAATTCTAAAAATGAAAACTTATAAATAAAAAATTAAATAAAAATAAAAATAAGCCCTCATGTATTAAAATTGCCCCTCGCTATTCATACCCACCAAACCAATCGTTCCTTTATTTCACATCGCAGATCTCCAAACTTCAAACAACAAACACACACTGCATCTTTCTTCTCTTCTCCCTTGGACATGGCATCCAACGTAAGTCCCTTTCTCTTTCTCTTTCTCTAGTTTTTCTCATCTTCTATATCATTTCAATCTATGTACTTCAATCCCAATGCAATAGCTAAGCATATAGATTTATGGGAAACTATTAAATTGATGGAATTTTTTGAGATTCTTTTCTGCTGTGGTGGATCGAAAGATATATGGATCCTATTTGAGCTTATTCTTATAGATTTAGGAATTGGGTTTCGAAAAAGTTTTGGTTTTGTGTTTGTTTGTTGGTTGGATCATCCGTTGATTTGGACTTTGGAGTGATATACTTGGGAATGGGTATTTATGTTTGAGATATTTGGTTTTCCTCATTTCAGATCCGTGTTAAAATCTTCTTCTCCTGGTGCTTATTTGTCAATGTTATGCTTTGGCTAATAAACTTATCAATATGTGAATTTGTTACTGGGTTTTCATTTAATTTTGTAAGCAAGGTTTCTGCTATTCAGATAATTGATAAGAGAAAGGGATTCGTTTTGTTTTTGTATTGACGCGAACAAAAATCTGATTAGGTATAACTGGGGAAATTTACTGTGGTTCCTAAGTTGAAGATTTGTGTTTAATTTTCAGTGTCAAATGCCTAATGGTGTTAAGTAGAGGCGAATTTGAACCAAATGATATGCTATTTGATATAGCAGTGTTATAGCACACTGTAGCTTAGTTTAGAATTTGAAGAAACCACTATTTTCTGCTATTGACAATTCTTCAATGAAGTTGTACCCAGGAACTAGGAACTAATTTGATAAAATGTTGATTATTTGAAATTGCTATCTTATGAATGGCGTGTGTAAAATTGAACAAGATGTTCCGCACTTATTTTGCTTGCATTTTGTTTTGATCTTTATCAGTTTTACCAATTTCAAGAAGGGGTCTTCCAATATATGTGAAAAGGTATTTTGTGAAGATCAGTGCTTTTTTTTTGTTGACATGTTTCCATATTGTTACAACTGTAGGGCTTGTGTCCTTCAATTAAAAACATTCTTCTTTTAGATTCTGAAGGGAAGCGTGTGGCAGTCAAGTATTACTCAGATGACTGGCCAACAAACAGTTCAAAATTAGCTTTTGAGAAGTTTGTGTTCACTAAGACTGTTAAGACAAATGCGCGGACAGAAGGTAAGCAACAATGTTTGAGAAATACTCATCATGATATGAAGTCAATTAATTTTGTATTGTGCTCTAGTGTAGTGCCTATGGTGGTGGCACTGACTGTATAAACCAACATGATTCTTGATGTAACAGATATGTAACATGCATTTTAGTCTTTAAAAACCTTTTTTTGTGCTCAGATTTATGCCAATTATTCTATTTACTTAAACTTCTGAACTAATTCTTTACTTCATTAGACATTAAGTAATGGTGTCACCTTTAGATAGATAATAAAATGAAGAGTTTATGTGTCTTTTTTATATTATGGACGAAAGTAGATCTGGTTTCTATCTCAGTTTACCTCAGTTGATGTCTTGCATCAATCGGTTATATTTTGAAACATTTTCTTGAGCCAGCATCACTATCTGCTGCATATCTAGTTAGGAAATAGACTCGACCACTGCATTTCTTTTTGACACCACCTTCAATTTTGATGTGCTTAATCAGACATCCTTTCTAGTGTATTAGCAGAAAATAAAATGCTTACAGAAAATCTTTGTTTGAATGGAATGAAAAATTCCATTCAAGTCAGCACTCTTCCATACCACCATACATGTAGTATTTTGTTGTGTTTTTTATATCTATCGATAAATGGTAAGGTTGAAAAGTTCATAAGCCATTTGCTAGTAGTGGTGGCCGTATCACAATGTACTGTTTTTCAACATATGAAGGGAACATGAACTTTCCTGAAAACCCCTGGCATACTTACTTTTACTTTTTTTTCCCTTTCGAGCAATCAAAGTGCAGTAAAAAGCACTTAATGATGGTATCTGGTGGTGTTTTATTGTAGAAAAACTTTTTGTGAGCACTTGTGCTTATTGTGTTTCTCTTAAAACTGATATTTTGTTAAAAAATTATCATCTGCAGCGGAGATAACACTGCTTGAGAACAATATCATTGTTTACAAATTTGTGCAAGACCTGCATTTCTTTGTCACTGGTGGTGATGATGAAAATGAGCTCATCTTGGCATCCGTTCTTCAGGGTTTCTTCGATGCAGTCACCCTTTTGCTGAGGTATTTATGGTTTTATTTTGTCATCCGAATTTAAAATCAGATGGGTCTCTCTACTCATCTTTGTGTTCCTTTTACAGGAGCAATGTTGACAAAGGTGAGGCACTTGAGAACTTGGATCTCATTCTTTTATGTCTTGACGAGATTGTCGATGGAGGGTATGTATATATGACTTATTTGCCACAATTTCTCTTTCCAAAGAAAGTTAATTAATTCTTCTAAATATTTTGGTTTTTTTCTTGAAGGATTATACTTGAAACAAATGGACCTCTAATTGCCGAAAAAGTGACCTCTCATAACATGGATGCTGATGCCCCCTTATCAGAGCAGGTAATACAACTCCCTTTCACCGTAGTTTCAATCAGTACTGTGCATTTTATTGATTTTTGCGACAAAAATGCATAGTGGCATATTACTCCATCGTCAATCTGACAGCGACTTTCTGATAATGCAGACACTAACTCAGGCATGGGCTACAGCCAGAGACACTTTCACAAGAACTCTTCTAACATGATACTCTCATGACGGTGTACTTAATTGTGCTGCTTATATTTCAGTAGTTAAGTTTTTCTGTTAATGAGAGTTGTTATATTTTATCCCTCCATTTTTATTTGGTATTTTTACTAAGATTTGGAATGCTTTCATGAATTCTAGTTGTCGTTACTGTACCATTTTTTCTTTGAAGGATCTTCCTTGATCCTTCTTCTGTACACCTGATATTATTTTTCCAATGAATGGAAGAACATGTTAATCTGAAGTAACTAATCATAGGGATATAAAGCAACATAGGTATTGTGATATGATTTCCAAGTTACTACTGATGTCTATTGAATCCAATATCAGGATATTATTCTTTCATAGCTCAATGCATGAGTTTTTAAAAAGTTTTGACTTCAACTTCCACGTGTTAAGACTTTGGAGTAGATTAAATTGACATTGAACTTGAGATATATAAAATAATTGTTCTCAGGTGCCATGATCAAACAATATTCCGTTGAAATTTCTTCACCCTTAACTACAAAATTACAAAACAATAGATAAATAATAGACTAAAAAAACATAATATTTCCAATGATTCATGCAAATTAACTTTTGCATAAATTATAGCAACAAAATAATTTTACAGTTATTGCAAAGAAGTTAACGCAAAGAACTTTTTCAAGAAATGATTTGTCAAAGTCATTGAAAAATTTATTATACATGTTTTACTAATATTTCATTCTATGGGTTTAAAAACATCAATTATAATTAGTGACCGTTTAATTCTCATATCCTACTTCTCCTATTTTGATAAATACATATCATAAGAAAAACATATTATACAGTTTATAAATAAACAAAAATGACTTGCATATGGAGAAGAAAACACAAATATCCCTACCATGATTTTTGATTTATACCTTCAATGGATGTTTAATTGAACACAAATACAATACATAATGTAGTACTGTATATGTATATGGTTAGTTACATAATTTTCAGCTGTTAATAATTTTTCAGCTGTTAATAATTTTATGGTTAGTTACATTTTTAAGGATAATATTAGAATAAAAAGAGGACGGTTTAAAAGCTCAAAAGCATGTATCCTTTATCTATAGTTATAATATATAAATATTACTCTCTCCGTTTTAAAATGACTGTTGTTTAAGTTTTTTGTATATAAATTAAAAAATACAATAATATTATCATAAAATATTGCACTTTTATTAAATTAACTTTATTGAAATATTAAAAATAGCGTACATAGTAATAATTAGAGGATACAATTAAAAAAATATTATAATCAAATGTGAGAACGACAATCATTTTAAAACAAATTTTATTTGTTAACACTAATCATTTTGAAACGGAGAGAGAGTAACATAAATTACAAATAAATGATGATTGATTTATGCAGGGATTTCATTTACACTATCTAATAAAGGCTTTCAATTTAAAGGGTGGTCTTAATCTTATGGATGACAATAGTAGGGTTTAGACATGGTACTTGTTCTGGCCTGGGCCTCGGCCTGACCACGCGGCCCAATCCAATGATGCGATAAAGGCCCAATCTGGTTTGGGCAGTTTCTTGGAGCACATGGCCCCTTGCCGGGCAGGACATGCTCCCGTCGAGCAGAACAACGTTCCTCAAGACGTTCTCCGCGTGCTCCCCTCCGCGGGCAGAATCCCCATGCAAATGAGCAGGACAACATGCCTCTCGCACATCCTCTTGTGCTCCCCTCCGCGGGGAAAACAACACACCATCGCCCGTTCTCATGAGCTCCCCTCCGCGGGGAGATCAACGTGCCTTTCGCACGTTCTCCACGTGCTCCCCTCTGCGGGGACACGTCACTTCCCAACTGCCCACCTCCGAAAGAACAGGTCTACGTTTCGGAATGTGCGGAGCAGTTGAACTAGGGCGAAGACCACGTTCTGGTCTTCACTACTCCACGTAAGCCCTAGCAGTCACTTGGGTTGGGCCTGGCCATCCGGCCCAACTCAAATGACCGTTGGCCCATCGCTGGGGTCTCTCTATAAATACCCTTTTTCACAAGAGGGTCAGGTAACTTACTTCTTGCCCCTTTTCTGTACTTCGCTCTCACTCTCTCCAAATCACTCACTTTGACATCGGAGTGCCTTGCAAGTACACCCCCCACCTCGTCCTTAACACCGGGGAACATGTAGCAGTCCAGCAGTGTGTGGCCGGTTCGTGACCTCCTTCTGATCAGGTCAGATCAGTACTATAGTACTCGTTCTCATATCTAAAATTTGAAAAAAAAATACTCGTACTCATACCCGTTTATCCGTATTTCTAATAAAAAAATTATCAATTATAATTTATCATGTCATTTCAAGTTTTTAACAACACTAAAAAAATTCAAGGATGATATTGTTTAGTTAAAAAATAAACTAACATTTATATTAAAATGCATACACGTTTAATAGTGATATATTTACTAAAATTTGATACATTAACATGTATACATAAAAATAAAAATAAAAATATATAAACATACTTGTGCAGGTATGAGATGGTGTGAGTACTAAGGTACTCATACTCACGCCCTCACCCTTCATTTTAATAGATAATTGTCTGTACTCACGCTTGTCGATGTCCATTGGGGATGAGTCCAATTGTCATTCCTACTTAATCAATATATTATAAATTCTGAAATTAGCCTTGCAGCTTAATAATGGAGTGAGTGGACGTTTATTTTGTTGTGAATTGGTGTCGTCAAGAACAAACTAAAATATGAGAAAAAGATTGAGTTTTTTGAACAAACACAAAAAACTTTATTAGGTTTCACAAAAGATAGAGAAGAAGGAAGAAGAAGAATAAGAATTGGTTAAAACTATTTTACTATTCACTTTCTCAATAAGGGTTCAAAGATTACAAGTGAATACCAACAATTAACCTCTCACAAAAATCTGGGAGGACTAGTCTATTTATAGACTACTAAACTAACTTAGGATACAATCTAAGTTAACAATTGAGCTTACAAGTATGGCCCAATTCGACATACTAACTTACAAGCAAACTAATTAATATTTTTCTAACTTGAGATGGAATATTTTTCTTTGAAGCCTCGCTATAGTTGATTGGTTAAACACCTGCAACGAAAGCAAAATGAACTAATTCTCCATCTAGTGTGACTTCATTATCACCTGGCACTTCGTAGTCTTGAAGTCTTGCTGGATGAACTCTAGTTCTTTGAGGTCTCCGACTTGTGCTAGCCACACCCTTTCAACTTCGACCGCGTCTAGAATATCATTATCTGTTTCGACTCTATTATCCTCTTCGAATTCAACTATTGCTAGAATTTCTTCGTGCTCACTACTTTCTTCATCAACGCCATAGCTTAGCAATGGCTTGTTAGTTGAATCACCTAAATTACAATCCCAGGAAGAGTTTTCATCAATCACAATGTCTCAACTCATCACGATCTTATTTTTCATTGGATTGAATAATTTGTATGCTTCTGTTATATGATATCCTACCATAATCATATGTTCACTTTTATCACCAATCTTCCTTCTTCTTGCATCAAGAGCATACTTGTAGCAAATAGAGCCAAACACCTTCAAATGACTCACTGGTAATCGTTTTCCACTCTGATGTTCTTCAAGTATTGGATGAGACTTGTATGACCAACACATTGGATGAGACTTATATGTATGACCCTAGCTTTGGATGAGGATTTTTATGATTGACCCTAGCATATGGAGTACCATTGTCCATGTCACACATCCCTTGTATTTTTCATTTATCTCTCTTTCCATTTTGGTGTACTTTCTTTACTTTATCGCTTTTCCTTAGTTGTGGTTTTGCTTGCTAGCTATTTCTAGGGACTAGGATTGACCTTACCGTTCTCCCTTAACCATTGTAAGTCGATCACTCCATGCGTCACTATCAACCTTTCCCTTACACCACTTTATAAAAAGCCCTTGATCCAACATCATGCGACATTTTCACAATAAAACTCTTGATCCAACGTTAACCGACTTTTTTCTTAATAAACTCAAAAAGTATGCTAATGGGATCACAACGTTGTACAAGCATAAGACATACATTGTTTAAATGATCAAATGTACTAGTGGTTCAGAGAATCCATTTCATCAATTGCGTTCATTTTTAGTTCTAGGACGAAACAATGGTGTCGTTTGTGGGAATCGACTTCTGATTCCAACAATTTTAATAATTTCATGTTTTGTCTTCAATTCATCATTTTGTAACCTCTTCTGGTCACTCAATTAAGAGAATTCGAAATCAAATGTGGTGATACGTTGCATTCAATCTAGTCAGTTATCGTTTCAACCACGATTCATTAGATTTCTAGACCTATGATTCCCTCGAGAACTCCACGAAGCAAAAATAGAAAGAATCATGGGTCCAAATCGACATCTAAATGAAATTACCAAAGAGTGAAGGTAATTTTCTTGAAGAAAATACTGAATATTCACGTTCCAACTTCCAATCTAACATCACCTCTATCTCCCGCTGCCAACGTGAAACTTACCGTGGTGACATCGAAGATATAGCGAGTTCGTAGTTAATGAATATTGTAGCTCCGGTACCGGGGTACCTTCTATAGGTACTAAAGGACCATTGGACTGGGTCTCCTTAGACCAAATCCAAAAGATCATGATGGAACACGTTGACTCTGCTACATCTTTTCCTTACATCTTAGAGTAAATTTTTAATGGAAGAGCACTCAATTCCAGCTGTGACCTTTTGGTAAACTTCTTATTCCTTATGAATCTGGGGCGTTGTATCCAGAAGTAGAAATATATGAGCGCAAATGCGGTTGAAGAACAAGAACAATACATAAATTACAACCTCAGACTGACCAGTAAGTGCAATAGTTTCCACTGACACCAGAGTCTGTGCGAGATAACTCATAAGCAACGTTCGTCGAGTGCCATTGCCTTAACTGGTGTAGTCGACTACCAAATCCATATGGTCGGACCGACAAAGTAACTGAGATTCTTTGGTTGCACACAGGGAAACAATCCCAAACTATGGTAGCAAGGAAA